TTTATCACGTCTCGAGAAAGAGAGTAAATATTCCAGCACACTTGTACGGTTACATGTTGATACAAATAAAGTCAACTTACAATATTAACATCGTCTTATTGTCTAATAATTTAGCGACACAAACGCTCTTGTAATTCGCAGTTTATTTGCTCAAGGAGATATATTAAATGTGTCAACATGAGTTGCACGCGGAGTAAAATTTTACTGCGGACAATACGACAAAGTTCAGAAGTTTATTTCAAACGGAATGGCTTTAAGAGCTGAATATATACAATATAATTTCGATTATCGTTATACAAAATGGTTTTTGTGGAAATGTACCCGTAGGGTTCTATTAAAATTGGTAAAAGTTTTTTTTCGCGTCAATAAAGCAAGGTAGATTTTTGATGATTAATAGCGGTTGCTTTGCGCTTTCGAACCATATAAAAGATTGGATACAGTTTGTGTGTGTATTAATTCTGAACTATTAGTCGCGTAGCGCGAAATATAGTGAGTATAAGTTCATCGGATCACCGTGCGAACAATGGCAATATGCAAGGGTCTGGAAAAGGGCAAGGACTGCATTGAAGGGGAGAAGGCAGAGGCTGCAGGGAACAAACGTTTTTCCTTCCTGTACAATTTATCGAAGAATATAAAAAAGTGCGTCGTATTACTCTTTGTGAATATTTCAAAGACATTTGCAATCCTACATATGTTAATATAACGATAATGTTAGGGAACAGATAGCAGTTAACAGAGCTAGAAGCAGATGAAGAACGAGCACGACAAAATTTGGCTTCTCAACCACACCCTACCACAACCCATTACAACCCACGCATATATTATCATCTATCGTATACATCAAATTTTCGTATATCTTTTCGCACAACAAACTCGAAACATAATTCTGTACTGCTCGAAGGGCAACTGAGGGAAAATTAGGGCAATGTCTCTTTCGCCCATTCCTGCGGAAGTGAAAAAGCTTTAAATAGAGGATCCACCTGATGGTAGTACGCAAATATCTTTTCAGGAAAATAAACAACTTAATATGCGTTCGCTTCCTTCACGCGATATCAGAAAAGCTTGAGCACCTGCCTGCTCGATAGGTACCATGACATTTTTGATTATTTATTATAACATGCTTTACGAACGAAAATCGTAATAAGTACAAAGTCAAAGCTGTACCGGTGGTTATTGTCTTTAAAGGAAGTTATTATAATAAAATCCCATTAGCAGAACGCAAAACTTTGCATATCAGTTGCCAGATCCATTTTTAATCTTCTCAAGCTGTCTTGGCGCCAATAATTCCTACATAACGTAAACAACATTTAGTATCAGATGTAATCAAAAGTTGGTCTTTGAATATTCATAACGTACTTTCAGTTTCAGCCAAGGATTCTTCCAAAATTTGTTGTTGCTAAAGAAAATAGATAACGGGTGAATAAAAAGAGGGTGAATGTCGACGACAATCGAGTACAGAATATTATCTTACCACTTTGGGATCAGAAATAGCGGCCTTAACTTTCTCAATGACGGCTTCTGCCAAAGCCTTTTGCTCACGTTCACGGATGGCAGCCTCATATCGAACCCAAGAATCTAAGACAGATTTAATTTCTGCAGCAGCGGCAACATTTTGTTTCAATTCAAAGGCTTCTGCTTCCAGAGTTGCTGTTTCCTGGTAATGGAAAATATTGTTATTTGATAAATACTATCCTTTGGTGTAATCTGCATTTGGACAACAGTTACCTTTGACATGGCAAACAGCGCCTTGGTGACATCTACAATATCACCTAGTTGTCCAACAGTTTCAATTCGATCTTCAACTGCAGCCTTATGATCCGCCCGAGCTTGACGAAGAATACCGTTAACTCGCTAGATGAAAAGCCATACAGCAATCACATTTCCCATACGCCAAACATCCCAAGTTAATGACAAGGGGGGATTGATTACGACGCAAAACTAACTAAACATTGGATATGAACCCCCACCTCATTTTCTTCTGTCGCCCAGTCATTGAAAGGTTTCTTGATACCACGGTATAAAAGGAGAGCCATGGCAGCGAAAGAAACAACCACAAGAGTCTCTTCGTTGAACACGTAAAGCTCTTTGGACAGCACATAGGTAGCTAATCCAGTTCCCAACGTAATGTAACCCGTCTTTGAAATCACAGAGTTTCCAGGTAGAGCATCGATAATACTTAGAGCCTTTTGTTTTGGGTCAACAGGTGTCTCTAAAGAAAACACAATACGGGTCGGGTCAATGGAGGTTTCTTTTTCCAGCATCGGATGCCGACTTGATTCATGCAACATACCTTCGCTCGCAGGAGTTGAATATCTTCGAATGCTATGGACAATAAATATTATTAATTGATTTTATTTCGAATGTTGGTTAGTTCATATGAATGCAAGAGCATATGAATTTACGAGCCAACAAAATAGACCATTTCGTGAGATTGTCTCGATTCGAACATACCCCAAATTAATAGCAGGACGTCCAAGAACGTTCAATAAAGGTCCATTGACGCCTAAATGTAATATTAAAGTGTATATTAGCGAATTGATTTGACATTTAGCTAGCGTTTAGCAGGCGATCCTCCTACCCGAAAGACACCTGGTCGACAGCTGCCTCAAAGCCATATAATGATAGAACTATATTCCGGAAATCAAAATGTCAGTAACGGGTAGAGGAATAACTGTCCCCAAAATTCCTTGGCGAGAAATCTATAAGTTCCTTCACTGTCGCGAATATTATCTGAAATTGTAGATGGGACGGTCTAATGTTATAGAAAAGAGGGTATCATCCTATTACTACTGTACGTATATGTCGATGATCTAATCAAAAAATTTTTTTTGTGTAAAATATTAAACAGTAATATCAACAGGAACTAGAAAGACATGGAATCCCAACCATTCCTAGTCTTGTCTTCAACAATTATACAGAATCAACACTCACCGTAATGGAGAGTGAGATAAGATTGAACTAATCAAATATACGGGAGATAAATTTCTGATACGCAGATAGGACAGCATACGGTTACTATTATATTGTATACTTGGTGAATAATATTTTTTTAATTTATGAGCAATGTACTTATTATTATATACTAAATACGTAAATCTATAAATCCTAATAGTATAAACGCACTATAACTATGGGGAATTCACTATATAGACGGTAATATTTATCCTTTTGTCAATATAATAATGGACGATGTAATTAACTTGATATTGCCACATGAAAAGTTTATTGTCAGATTCTTATTGCAAGAAAATTCAATGCACACTGACTGCGCGTTGTAGTTTTCTCTAATAGTCATACCAACAGAATAATTGCCATTAGATGGATTTAAGAATGACGTGAAAATCGTCAAGTGACAACGCGTGCAGGTACGTTGGGCGCGACCTTAAATGTTAATTAAGATTTAGAACCCCGAAACTTGCTTATAAAAAGCATGTGACACAGTCTTTGGTAACATTTGTCTCTTGAGAAATATAGCTGGCTGATTCGTATTGATATCGTAAAAGAATTATAGACTATTGTCACATAGGAATTATGTTAATGTTCTACAAAACGATTTATCAAGGAACGATTATAATGCAAAAATGAATATCTGACTAATACTAATACTAATCCGGATACCTATTAAAAAATAAAATTATTTAATTTTGGAGCGAGTATTTAATCATGTGATATATACTAATACTATAAAATAGATCCCAAATTTTGGCTTCGTATTGTGGCAAAAGTCACATTTACACCAATACATGTAAGTGGCACAATAAGCGCGCGCTGTCATTATATTTATCATGCCATTATATTGTAATAAGCTGTTGTGTCATAATCAATTTTATTCTTGCTTTTATAAAACACAACCAAGTTGATGCAAATGATTGTGCAGTATTTGACTCTGTAAAAACTGTTTGCATAGATACTTATAATAATAAATTCCTGTCGCACTTAATTACATCGCATCCCGTATTACAAAGAGAATGATAGCAACCTGTGTCGCAAAGAAACGTATATTAAGAAGCGTGAAAATAAATCCATCAATTCTTTGTGTCGCGTTTTTGCAACGAGAATTACTTTGTTCTAAATTTAAAGTTACCTTGCGTGATTATTTGCTACATATACAAAAATGTCTCCGTACGAAAACCAAATCATTTACAGCGACGATAATACTGTCTCGGTTTCTCAGCTAAATGATATTCCCTCTACTTAAAAATACACGATTGAAATCTCACAAGAGCTTTGATATCTATTATGTTCATTACGTTCACATATAGTCATAGTATAGAGATAGTTTTTTGGACAACGTGACTTTGCCGCACATGTATCCAAAATTTGGGGTGCTTGCCAAAAACATATTAATATGTATGTCTTACAATCGTGCAACGTTTGGTATAAGCTTATCCAGTAATACGGCATTGAATTTCACTATCATCGCCTTACTTGGAACAAGTTAGCCAACTCCGGTAATCACGTGAACACGTACTATTTATTAATGCGCAATTTCACAATTCTGATAGTTTGAGAAAGACAATGGACATCAAACTCGAAGAACAGAATGGATACGAGTATATTCAGCGCGATGAAAGTAGTCGCGATACAGGTTTGTTTCTTTTAAACGGATCCCCGTCCAAGTTGAAGAATTAAGGAATACTGACTTTTATATCCCCCCTTCTCCTAGCGGACGCTCCCAATCGTGCCTCGCAGCTAGCCTCAAATTTCCTTTCGTCACTCAAACTAGAACAGGGTTACCAGCCGATCGGTAGCGAAGAACCAAGTATTAAGGGTAAGAAACTTGGATCTCACTATTAAATACCTTTTAATATTCCCGATCTTTCCGATGCTGGAATGTGTGCGTGGGCCGTGGAACGATTAGCGCTAGCTCTAATACTGGGGAACCACTAGCCAAAAAAAAAAATTTTGTTGATTCTCCTTAAAGTTTCCCAGTGTAAATCCATTGAACGTAAGGTCATAGTAACTAATGTTATGTCATTATCTGCTCTTTTCTTTACTTCTCCACACATAGTAACCCTCAGTGGGTTCGTTGCATGTCCTTTTTTCTTCTTCTAGATTATAGTTCCCTCGATACTAAAAAAAATCCGTGCTAAATTCATTCTGATCTTTTATTTGCATTTACGAAATCTGCTCTCCTCTCTCTCTCTTTTCCCTTTGATTACTCCGTTTATTTTTTTTTCTTCGCAGCGCAGCTTAGCCTCGACCTTATTGCTTATTTATACCGAGCAGATTACGGGAGAAAATCATCTGGAAAAATAATCATAACCAAAGCTTTACTTCTTTTCAGGACATACTAATTGAAATTCCAATACATAAAACATCTTTTCCCTTTCTTCCCTAATTTCTTCGCCGCACAAATATTCTTATGACTATTTGCACACGACGAACCTTTCTCACAGCTGAACAGTCTTCATATTATCGCGATCGATCACGCGAACGTCGTCGGTCGAAAGATGAGGATGATCGCGATCGCCGGGATAGGAGGCGAGACAGGGATAAGGATAGAGATCGTGATGGTGAGAGAAGTAGCAAACGTAGAGACAGAAGTCGAGATCGACGGCGAGATAGAGATGACAGAGATGATAGAGAGAGTCGGAGATCAAGACGTTCTAGAAAAAGAAGCAGAAGTTATAGTCCGAGACATCGGAGTGCAAGTCCCAGACATCGATCAAGATCAAGATCGATCACTCCAATAAATAAACGAAAACGCAAGCTCAACAATTGGGATGTACCCCCGCCTGGGTATGAAGGGATGACGGCAGAGCAAGTAAAAGCGACTGGTAAGAATGCAATGTGCGTCCATGAACTCGATATCAAATTGTACAATAACTGCCTTTTCAGGTCATTTCCCGCTTCCCGGACAACCTGCTACCAAGCCACTAAGCGCGCCACCAACACCTCTGGTGCCTGGTATGGATCCATCACGTGCTGCCATGATGATGGGTATGACACATGAGCTTCCTCCTCGGCCAAAAGTAAGCCAGGGTGCAGCGGGTCCAGTCGCACAGACAGCTTCACTAGCACGGCAGGCAAGACGACTTTACGTTGGTAATATTCCTTACGGTATAGACGAGGTTAGTAGAAAACATGAATATGTGATTTGCGTAATTTTGGAAATTGACCCATCATCTGTATACTTTGTCTTTAGGCCGGTCTCTCCGAGTTCTTTAATTCGACAATGCTCCAACTGAATATCACGACAGCTCCTGGAAATCCTGTTATTGCGGTTCAAATAAATCATGACAAGAATTATGCTTTTGTAGAAGTTTGTATACAAGTTCATACTTGATATTTCGCAAGACTCATTCCTCTCGCTCAAATTACTAACTTTTACACGTCTCCAGTTTCGAGCACCAGAAGAAGCAACAGCTGCAATGGCATTTGACGGAATTACATTCCAAGGACAGTCTCTTAAAATCAGACGACCAAAGGATTACCAACCGCCACCAGGACAGAGTCTGGAACCACCGCCGATTCATGTTCCTGGTGTTGTATCGACAAATGTACCAGACAGTCCTAATAAGATCTTTATTGGCGGGTTGCCCACGTATTTGAACGACGAACAAGTAATGGAACTACTAAAGTCATTTGGCGAATTGCGAGCGTTTAATCTTGTCAAGGATAGCGTAACTGGAGTGTCCAAGGTAATGTATCAGTCTTACTTGTGAGAGTTTTTTTTTTTTTGGGCATTACCATTAAGTATATACACATTATCTAGGGTTTTGCTTTCTGCGAATACGTGGATCCAAATGTCACGGATTTAGCATGTAAAGGCCTTAACAATATGGAGCTTGGAGATCGCAAATTAGTGGTTCAGCGTGCTAGTGTCGGGTCAGCCAAAAACACTACTGTAGCGACAACTCTGCCTCCGTCGTTGCTGATCCCAGCCGGTAACGGGGAAATGCAACCAACGCGAGTTCTACAGTTACTTAATATGGTCACTCCCGAAGAATTGGTTGAAGATGATGAATTTGAGGGTTAGTTCACCGACATGTAGTGTTTCAGCGTACGAGTCAAAAGTAATGACTTGTGATATTACAATTTGTATGCAGATATTTATGAAGATGTACGCGAAGAATGTTCGAAATTCGGAAAAGTATACGACATCAAAATCCCGCGTCCCAACCAGGGAAGTGCGTCCGGTGTTGGAAAGGTAAATGCTCGTAACATGCAGATGCACAACCCGTAGTAGACGGCTAGCTAACTCGTTCATCTTTACAGATTTTTGTACGATATGAAACTATCGAATCAGCAGGTGCCGCATTACGAGCTCTAGCAGGGCGAAAATTTGCAGAACGTACAGTGCTAACATCTTATATTGACGAAGAGAAATATGTAGCAGACGACTTTTAATTGATTATTAGTAATAAAACAAAAAGAATCGATCTATGTAGCCATTCTACCTATTGAATTAATAAATTATCAGAATTCGGAATATCGGATATCTGTCGACAATCACGCAATTGTTCTAATGTCAAAATTTATGCGATCTGGTTACACGAAAGTTTGCCTTTCAATCGACAGATCTTACCTAGTTCCGCAGTCTAGTCTCTTGCAATCATGTCAGTCGACTCTGCTAGTTCTGACACAGTCTTTAGCATTCTGAACAAAAGCTTGAAACTCGAAACCGCCGAAGATGTCCAAACTTTTGTAGAGGAAATATTAGCAAAGGAAAACTTGGAAACAGTGATTTTGAGCGGGAATTCGTTTGGTGTTGAGGCAGCTCAGGCGCTTGCTGGAGCGCTAAAAAATAAAAATTCAATCAAGGTGAGCCATTGTGAGTGATGGACACGACTCGCAAGACTGACATTGCCGCAAAGAGGTCATAAGTATTGTCTATGGCGCGTATACTAGTATACACGCGCGCTCTGATCAATCTTTCAGTAACGCGTCGTTCAATAACTTTTATACAATTAGGTAGTCAACGCATCCGACATATTTACGGGACGTCTGCGAGACGAAGTTCCGCAAGCAGTCAGGGCAATCTGCGATGCACTCGAAGATAAACAAAGTCTAGTTGAATTGAACTTTAGCGATAACGCATTCGGTCCAGCGGGAGCAGAACCGATGGTTGACTTTTTAACAAACAACCGATGGTTCCAGGTACTGAAACTGAATAACAACGGATTAGGGGTACGTGGTGGGACTATAATTGGCCAAGCCCTACTGGAGGCGGCCAAGAAAAACAATGAAGAAGGCAAAAAATCTAGTCTTAGAACAATCATTGCCGGCCGCAATCGATTAGAGAACGGTTCGAGTAAATACCTGGCTAATGCATTTGCTGCACATGGTACTCTAGTTGACGTGAGATTACCCCAGAATGGTATCAGACCGGAAGGCATTGCCATATTTGCCAAGGGACTAGCGGCATGTAAAGACTTGGAAGTGATTGATTTCCAGGACAACACGTTCACGACTAACGGATCTCTGGCGTTTGCGGAAGCGCTACCGGAATGGAAAAAATTGAAAAATTTAAACATCGGCGATTGCATGTTGGAAGTTGCGGGCGGCGTGGCCATAGCGGAAAGTCTTTTAAAGGGATGCAACAATCAGCTGCAGACGCTGAATCTTCAGTATAATGAAATCGATAGAAAGTCAGTGTCCCTGTTGGCAAAAGCTATTTCCTCGCATCTCAAAGATCTGGCGTCGTTAGAGTTGAACGGTAATAAAATTCATCCGGAAGATTCGGCAATCGCTGATGTCAGGGCTGCGCTCGAGGAACATGGGCATGATAACGCTTTGGGTGATTTACATGATATGGAAGTGAGTGAAGATGAAGAGGAAGATGAGGAAGAGGAAGAGGAGGAGGAAGAGTCTCGTGAACGCTAGAACGTTGTTTCTGATGACTATTATTAAACTGTATGTGATACCCTAGTGGTTTCCAGATACATGTTGTATACATAATTCTGAATAAAACATGACAAAAGAATATACAAGCGTAATTTCTATTTTACAATACTATTGACAAGGCAGGATTGGGTGCTCATTTTAGAGAGTGAAGGGAGAGCGAGAGCGGGAGAGGGGTGGGGGTGTTGGAAACGAGACTGATGGCATTATTATCTTTAATGGAGGCGGTTTACCATTCGAGTTTTGGATCTTATCCGGTAAGATATCATGGAATTACCTATACTATACTGCATAGACATATACTGACCTACATTGAACCAGAAAGTTCTTTAGGATTTGCATTATGTGCCGCTTAAGTTTACATTATCTGATTGACCGGCTTTGAGCTAAACTGGAGTAGCTATAAGCGACAGGTACCTCTATCCACGACGGAAAGGACGCTCGGTAGATCTTCATTATTTGTTATTGTATTTGAGGCTAGATCAATATATTGTTCAGAAGTTCCAGGAAATGGAGGGAGTCAGATAAACAATCCAGAACATGGTGCACCCTCGTTGCAGTTTCTCGAATTCTATGATAATGTCTGGCCCATTCGAAGATGTGACAATATGAATTAGTACCAACTCGGTAAAACTCATTAATTATCCACGCGTTTCAACTTACGCAACAAGTCCTTTCAACAAGACTCGCTAGAGCTTTCGGTTGGTCTTCCTAGTAGACGGTATGGTTCGTCTCGTAGGAAATAGTAAGAGTTTTCGCCTTTGTTGAATTAGTCACGTGAAAATACATAATACTGATTGTTTATTGTTGCTTTAACAGAGATGTGTGTTATATTTTGTATACATCATATAATGTACATGTTCATTAACCAACTATGTACAAGTATGTTTCTACTCGAATTTGTTTCATAAGAATTTATGTAATCAATGGTTTCAATAACTCGTTATTTGACCTGTCCCAAACAACATATTCGGATGCATAATCCAATAATGACAGACCTTAATATTAATAAACACCACCCATCAGGGAAATTTTTTCTCTCCAACTCAGTTTCGGGTAATGTGGGAACGGGTTACGTGATTACCGCGAGAGAAGAATGGGACGGAGTGATTTGAGTGTATTGATATGATTGGATGATAATGTGACGGTAACCGCTAGTCCATCTTTTTTTTTACTAAATAAATTTAGTCAAGACCTCCCCACATTCCTGTATATAGGCAATAGCAGACAAGGGGGTTCATAAACAATTAAATTGCGTTATCATGAACAATCGAGAATGCCGTAAATTTTTGTCACAACAATTGTCGAGACACATGCTAATACTTGGCAAAGCGTTATTATTATGCAGAAAAGCTCTTACAGGAGAGTTATACAAAAATAGTAAATCCCCGGAAAATTCGATGCACGGTATGGATACCTTTGAATAGCGTAAATCAATGAAACGAATTACCATGTATCTTTACCATATACCTGCAGGCAATATATGCCCCGATGCATCATACGTGCGGGCGGAGTGCAAGTTGTGTATCTATGTGTGAGAGATCCAAAAGAAAGATAATGAATCAGTATGCATGGGATCACATGCTAAATACGAGAGTAAAATCAGCAAGACGGACATGATCAGCTCAGGGCAGAGCGAATAGAATGGATTGTAAATGATGCCAGTAACTGATATTTTGAAAGACATATTTGGGTGTCCATTATGAATTTGCATAATTGTGTTTAGAACCATTACACACACGTTCCAAATGCGCGTCAATAAGGATGCGACATTTTGCATGAATTGGGCGTATCTGTATGAATCTCAGAGGGCGAGAAAGGACAGTTCAAAGAACAACAACGTCTTTTTGTATGATCCGTAATCATCATGTATCATTACCATTATCACTTTTACCCGATCGACACTTTTTAATTTTCGTTGTTTTTTTTAGAGTCATTTTTATTTACTGTTCTTTTTAGCTAAGAAGAAACTATCAGATAAATATATATGTGTAAATAAGTTGCAACTATATACAAAAAAAAAGAAAAAAAAAGAAAATTCCAATTATAAAATCCCGGGAAGAAGAAAAAAAATCTGTTTCATACCAAGCATATATATATATTCTGTTGTTCTATAGTCATGTTTTTGCATCGTAAAATAAAGAGAGACTTGAATAAATCTTATCATACGAATTAATGGTGAAAATGAAAAATGGTCTATTTTTAAGAAATCTATAATTAGTTTTGAGTATGTTGTGATTTTTTTAATAGTAAACCGTATGCAACCTGGTGATTATCATAAGAGATGTAAGGAAAGACAAGGCGACGTTTCGTCACAATTGAAATGATGTAATTCGTGATGATAGGAATGTCTGCAGACAAGAGCGAAAAGAAGGTGAACACAGAGAAACAAAAATAGAATGAAAGGGGGGAAAGTAATACGGAAGGGGAGTGAGTAATACAAATAGGGGACAGTAATTGACGTCACAATTGTGTGATTAGAAAAAAAAAAAAAAAAGAGAAAGAGAGAAAGAAGAAAATGCATAGTGAGAGAGTGAGAGAGAGAGAGATAGATAGATTGATAAACAAAAGGAAAATGGTAATAATATGTACAAAATATAAACCAACACACTCAAGTATTTAATGATGACCGTAAAAATATAAAATAAAATTTCCAATACCAAAGATAATCTATGCACAAAAAATAACCAAATGCCTGCCTCCCTCCTTTCCCGAAACCAAACTATAAACACACAACACACCAAAACCCCCCAATATTCTTTACAAAAAAAAAAAAAAGGCCTCAATCAACGTTTATTCACATGTTAACCGCCTTGAACTTTTTCGCACCACCATTAGGCAAGACAGCCTGAGCACACGGAGCACCGGAATCGCTCCTCAAATGCCTGTTTAAGGCATCCAACCTCGCAAACGCTCTTCCACAATGTGAGCAGACATGCGGTTTGAATCCCAAATGCAAGTTATAATGCCTCTTTCTATCATGTTGCCTTGCAAATGCTCTCGAACATCCTTGATACCCACAGACGAACGGACGTTCGTTTGTATGTGTTCTGAGATGCGATTTGAGATTATACTGACGGGTAAAGGTTTTCGGACAATCACCGTGCGGACAATGAAACGGAGCTGACGATCTGGATCTGCGAGACGGTCTGGGTGGAGCGAGGTTCATTGTATGTAGCCGTTGTACCATGTCTATGGGGAGTTGTCTGCGATGAGATCGAGGTCTGGTTGTTGCGGTGGTTGTGGTGGTAGCGGTGGTGGTTGTGGTGGTAGCAGTGGTAGCGGTGGTGGTGGTTGCACTAGTGGCGGCGGCGGTGGTAGTAGCAGTAACAGTATTCGTATTGGCATTCGTAGTTGTAGTAGTACGGTTATGGTCACTGGTATCAATGTTGTGCCTTGTTTCCTCGGTAACCATCCTTGCCAAGGGGGGTGGTATATGAGGATATAGACTATCAGCGATGGCTTGTGCTTTGGTAGGCGTGATGGGAGTAGCCGGAAACAAGTTGAGAGTCGGGGGAGCGTTCAAACATTGTGATAGAGAATGTTCCGCCGCTATTGCCTCGAGGGCGGCATGCGTGTTGGGGGTCAGCATGGTAGTGTTTTCGTCGTTGCTCAGCGGTGCAATGTTTGTGTTTAATGTCAATGATCCGAATGGATTGTTGCCGTTGCCGCCGCCGCTTCCGCCGCCGTTTCCGCTGTCCCTCGTCAAGTCGATTTGATCGGGAGACATTTGAGGGAACGGAGCAAAGTTACTAAAATCCAAGTGACTGTGAATAAAGTCTTGTTCGAATTCTTCGCCAAATTCGAATGAATTTCTTCTTTCTTCGAGAAAATCCTGGGGTAGGTTTGGACTAGATAATACAGAACTACCACAGGAGGAATATTCGTCGGACAAAGGTTCGTAATCACTAATACTAGACGATGATTCGTAGATCGATGATTGTGGTGAGCCGTACGACGGGGTATAATTCTGTCCGTAGAAGAATGAAATGGCAAAAGGGTCCTGAGGGTCGATATATTGGAGATCTTTTGTTTCGAAAGGAGTAGAGGTGAGAAAGTATGAGGAGGCAACGTCGTGCAGTGATGATGAGTCCATAGAGGCTGAGTGGTTACTCTTTTGTGTGAGCTTTTTTTTTTATAGGTGTAATGATGCTTTTGTACGAGATGATCGGAGGGCTGTTCCCGTTGGAAAGAATTCTGTGGCTGGGATTTCCTTTTGGGGATCGAATAATGTGATTGAATTGAGGGAAAAAAGGGTTTGAAAGAAGAGTATATGTATATATTATATATTTTACAAGCGTTTTCCGAGTTAATCTTATGATGAAGCTTAGTTGACAAGTTTTTGGTCGAATAACATAAATTTATTGCTATTTGTCGTCTCGATGTTTGTAAAAGTAGCAGAGAGCGTGTATTGCTTGGACGTTTTCCAGTTGTGCGTTAATATCGTAAGGACTAGCCCGTTGATATTATATAGAACGCTGAGATGTTGACTTGAAAAAATAAATAGAGCTGAACAAATAATATGATGCACTCGTTATCTGAGGTGAATTAGATACAGATGCTTTGAGAGCGAGAGAGAGTTGGGAGGAGGACGATGGCTAATATTTATAAAAAAGTGGAACATCTATTATGATATATACAAGTTAATTTAAATGGTATTGTCACATAAATAGAATATTGTGTACATAATATTATAGTACATCGTATAAATAAATGCATTAGAAATCTATTCACAAGTATTGTACAACAATTCAATATGTACGATCCGCACAATATCGCATTGTATATATAAATTATTAATTATATTACTTCACTTTATGTTGATTGTATGACAATTTTCAATTGGGAGAAATTATCCCGCACAGGTGATATTGGATAAATATATTTTATACTAAAAACGTTCATTAAGAGAATAGTTTTTTTACCTTTAAACCTAATAAGCATTTATTCGATTACGGCAATGTTTTAATATTAGGAAACCAATCATAATAATTAATAATCGTTTCATATTGTATCATGTCACTGTTGTTCAAACATCATGGTTGTCGTCATCGTCGTCATCATCGTCATCGTTGTTATGATTCCGTCTGTCGTCATCCTAGTCAATTCGTAAAGTCATATCGATATTCCCATATTTAGTATAAGAGTTAAGCAGATAAAAAATTTAAGAGAACCCATTGTTCTAGAAAACCATGTACAATCTGTTGCTCTGCTTCACATTCCACACTGATTGTCTCACCAATCACTGCAATCTAACTCGGCCGAAAACAAAACAATTCTCGCCACGATCATCTCTATTGGTTGATCACTTCACTATTGGTTTATTTTTAGAAAATTTGTGGCGAGTGTTATACAAAACGATTAGGAATTAGTATTACTAGTTATAGTCAATTACTTCAAGTTGCGAAATAAACCGGTTTTTGGAAGTTTTCGGTAACAGGCTACACCAAATTGATGGAGATATGCCGATTGATAAACACTGCGGTTATCAGGATAATTCCAATCTTCCAAATACAGTCAATACATATATACAAACATAAATAATCCCATCTAGTCCCTTTGGGCTGATGTTTGATTACTTGCCATTATTGTAGAGAGGGATTGACAATCGACATGCGAATGCAGGGTTTCAGCAGAGTGGGCAAAGCAACGTGGAATATACCATAACTCAATGCTCGATTTTCAAACTCTGAGAATTAACGCCACTCAATTCTTCTCAGGGTTCGAAAAGAAGGGGAAAAAAAGAAAAGATTTTCTGTCGCTCTGTTTCATCGATAAGCGAAAAAAAAAAAAAGGAAAGAAAAAAAGAAACCCCATTATAATTAGTAGGACTAGATGAGTTTATGATCAACAAATACCAGTAAACGAATCAGAATGAATTGATAGTCACGTTGATTACCAGTTTCATTTTAATTTCCATTTTTATCTCATACTTTACCATTTGTCCTACAATTATTATCCTGGTCCTTCATACGATGCGGCCGATGTGTGAGATAATCAAACAGACAATCCTAATATCAGTTTAGACATTACAACATTGTGTTTAAACCTGGTACGTCATGAAATGTTGCTAACTGCATGTGACAGACTATATAGAAAGATTTCATGGAAAAACGAGTCTCTGTCGGTCGTACGACTATTGTACAGGACAAGTAAAACCTAAACGTCATTTTCGCTTTTTAAAAACCATATCCTAAATTCGTTAGCAACAAGTCGCAGCATATCTAAACGGTTTTTGGGGGGGTCGCAGCATATCTGAACGGTTTTTGGGGGGAGGGGGAGGAGGGGGAGGAAAGCGGAAAGTTCCCGCAAGTGGCTGACAAAGCAAAAAAAACCAAAAAACTCGTCCAGTGTAGGTTGGGCGGTTTATCGAAATTATCCGACAAAGAAAATTCGAGATTAAGTTGTATTAGGTTTTAGGTAAGGATAAACTCGTTCCCGCTCACATGTTGCTCAGATCTATTATTAGGAATTGATCTTACCAAGGTGGGTAATACGACAATCCCTTTTTTACGTTTAATGCACAAATCACTTTGGAAAAAAAAGGGGATAGGGACGGGATAAGGACTTTTTGTTGTTAATATCAAAAGGCCGAATGGAGATGAACGAATTGGCACAATGTGACTTGTTATGGCATTTACAATGTAGATACGAAAATCTGTAATTATTAGACTATTTTATTAAGGTTATCGTAACTAAATTGTTTCATTAACGTTATCGTTTCATGTGGATGGCTTTACATCCATGAAAGCGAATGGTATTATTCACGTTTTCATGGCAATTTATTAGGAAAGGAAAATAATATAGGGTGATTTCTAATTCTTTACAAACCAGAACCATTAAACGTCAAAAGTTTTTCTCACACTTGTGCTCTGTAATTGAAGAACAATAAACTTTAATTTTGAAAAAAAAACGCAATAACTTCTTTTAATATCCAATTTTTGGATATGCGTCTAAACAAAGAAAGACTTTTCCGAGACAGTTCAACGATTAAACAGTACTACAGTCAGTCTTGCCCCTTTTCTTCCCACGAAGAAAACACAAATTTGGCCAATCGGTCAATGAAGATATATGCGAGCGAAAGAATAAGATTGGTTTGAGATATATGGGATTATCAGGTCAGCATTTCAGAGTTGCATATAAATGAAGAACATCCTTATAGGGACTGGTCAAGAGTTGCAACTGTTTACTCATGTTTATCTATAAATATTGACCAATTCGAATTATAGGTACCATCAATTCATTTCCTAAATCTACGGATAATAATGCATTTGATGATTATCACATTTAGGGAATTTCGTTCCAGGGGATTGGTAATCGAAACTTACAGACAAAAATAGAACACCCGACCCAGGATTATGTATAGAAAACAAGGCAATAATGGGACGGCATTCAAACGTAATATGTCGTGGTCGTTTGCCTATTACCGATACCAAAAGTAAATTGTGACACCAATAGGTTTTTTCATCTAGACTCATAAACCCGTGTACAGAAAAGAAAAAGAAAACGGTGTGTTGTGTTGTTGTTGTGTTGTTGTTGTCGCTGTTGTTTGTCATTGTGTGGTAATAGTTTAATATATATGCATAGATTTTGAGTTTTTCCTTGTCTAGTTTATAAAGAAAAGCAATAAAAGCGAATTTGGAATACTGGTTATTACGTTATTTTCCTTTGTGCAATAAGACGTTATATATATAGCTAGATTTAATTAACGGAATACCAGCCCCAAAAACAAACTAGCATAAAGATTGACAGGAACGATATTGTTTCAACGAAAAAAAAAAAGTTTCTTTTCTGAATGGCTTATTCGTTTGGTCCAAATAGTTTATTTTCTAGTCACGTTATACCCAAATAAGAAGGAAATACTTCAGATATGGTTCACAAGCATGAGAATCTTTTTGGCTGAACATGGGTTGATTTACGGCTTACAAATCAAGTAAACAAAGATATGCTCTCCCCCCCCACCTTTTTCCTTTCCTCCAATAGCATGGTATCACGACCCATACTACATCAATACGCAGTTAATCAAGCAACAACTATGGTTTAACCATTAATCCAGTTCGGTACACACATTAATTTTCTGCTTTAAAATCACACTTACGAATTAATTAATCAATTTTAGTCTAACTTGTCCGATAATCCTTATCAGAGATAGATTAGATTAACAATCTGTTGAACTTGGTCTCTTTTGGGACAAGTTTTGTTTCTTGGCGGTAACGCACACTTTAACGATTATTGGGTATAACCGTATATCACGCCAAGGATAAAACTTAAAATTACCCGTCTTGTTGCCTTTACTTGAATTTAATCACTGTACATCGACTAAGCCTGAATCGCCACAGGGCATTCTCGAATTTTATTCTCTACCAAATACAAGAGATGCGCCAACTGTCAACTGTTTCAATCGTCTATATGCGTGAGAAATATAATTGTGACCATAATATAGGCAATAAATTTGGTGATCATTCTTGGTTTATGTACCGCAATTAACGCATTCGACAAGAAGTGACTTGGCGCTACAAACAACAGGTAAATACTCTTTTCGCGCCCGTACGTTGATTGAGAGTCTAAAACCCTCACTTTGATTTCATTGATATCACCGTATACAGTGTGTGACCGATGACGATCGGTGTGCAGGAACGTGAACAAACAATATTTGTTTTTAGACCAAGTAAATAAATACAAAAGTTTTCGGATATTACCAGTAAAGCCAAGCTATTCCACTAAATACAGCACGTTATTACAAAAAACTTGTAAATTAATGTGATTATGGAGAACTGAAGAGAAAATTATGCTGCTGCAACAGATTGTCCAAAATAGTAAATTGCTAGAAAGTTATTCATAACTCCTTAACGAGTAACTGAGCCCATTTTATCATATATCAAAGACAGTTTATAGAACTCAACAACATTTATTTCTATCATTAGCATAACCAATGGATTCGGCCAAGCGTTCATAGAGCCTATCAAGGGACAATAGCATGTCATTTCGAAATACATGCAATGCAAACTTAAAAATAGCTGTTTATGCTCTATCAAAAATAGTGATTATGAATTCACTCTTCATTGACGGAAGAATAATCCGAGAGGTGCAATTTCATTATAATGTACAACAAATAAATTCAGGTTTTTGTTGCGGATACGTAAATTAGTGGAATAAAGCAACCCATCATGGCACTATCCACAGATAAATAGCCGAGAAATTGATGCAACAAGCCAATCGACAATTGATTTTATAAGCAATATACACGTTAAAGCTCACGTTTTAAAGACTGTTCTACTAATTAATAAGCAAGCCACTCTGGGAATAGAAATATTGCTGCGATCAGATGTTTGTGTAACTATTTGCAGCGGGTATGTGCGATGAAAAAAATTTTAGTGAATCGTACACTAAAAAGGTAAAAGAATTATTGTCGGAATGGAAAGCCAAGCAAAGGAAAAGAAATAATAACGCAGATGATCTCATTAAAAGCGAAATGATACAGGTTGACAATTGATGAATAGCTCATTATTTACTACTACGCATCTACATCGAAAGTTCTATGTACCTTACTTGCGACGTGACACAAACTGAAAAGCGGAATGACGCCACAAACATGCACAATCATAGCTGTGTTACAAAAAATGATGTAATTGTGATTTTAAAAAACGTGACATAAGATACATCCGTGCTGTGCAACTTTAAAACCGCAATTGAGCCGAATCAAGATTAAAAAGAGAATTAACAAGAAATTATAAAATTATAGTTAGAACTCGTTGTTAGTGTCGATAAACAGTGAAAATAATTTACATTGTAACGCTGTTGAATCTATCAAATTAGCAAATACAAAATCAAAATTTTAAATCTTTATTACTTTCGTTTATCGAATTTCTTTTGTCAAAATACCTGACCTTACAACTTTTTAAAAATTTACTATTCTATAAAGCTTGCATTTAATACTGTTAAAATCACAATTACTGCCCATTAACTCTGAAATAATTAGCACGAATCCTATATTTTGAATCCGTATTATAGCAATTGTCGATAATAAATTAAATAAAAATAAAATCTTCAGTTATCTGATTAAATGCGCTTTTCGACTAATCAAAATTCATACTAATCCGTCACAGTTAAAACCATAGACATCCCAACAGTTTCGTTTGCCAATTAACAAGTAACGAAATACAATCTTTTTAGCCTTGTTGCAGACATCATCAACGCAGAAGCCGTTCTAATAACCTTTTACCATTCTTGGAGTCAACTTTGTTTTTGGTCTGCTTAAAGTAGAAAGCGAAATAGAAGCAGGTACTTAGCAAAATGACCAAAATGAAACATCTGTGGCCAAAACTTTCCTAATTCTCAAGCATTGTTATACGTAGCACGAGCTTGCTGTCAATAACGTTTGACAAACAAGTTCCGCAGTATAAACAGTTACACTGCTTGACAATGTAACCCATTATCACTGTTATTGCCCTCTTGGCAAAGCGGTCATCCACAAGCTCAAAGCACAATTATTGTCCCCACAACATGCATCACATCATTTACTTGGCAAACCTAAAATTTTCGATTCCGCAAAAACGCATAGATTTTATTTTGCCCGTCTGATAGAACTGTCTCATATCTACGTACGATATCATCCAGCGTCATATTCTATCATCATGTTGTGATTGGTTCAATTGAACAAGTCGCACAAAATTTATTTTTAGTCGAGGCGGTGCAGTGGGTGCAAAAAATTATGGAAGCGATAATACAATTTAACAATAGTGGTAATAAAAATGATGTAGCATCAGGTGGGGTTAGGAATATCCGACCATTGAATCTGTAACATATTGTGTCATAATTCCAAAGTTATTAGTTATAAATTTAGGTAACGGTTAATTTATCCCGATGTTATCCAACAGATTTAGCTCATCTTTTTCATACTGCATCTACTATGTACCATATTTAGTATTATGCTTTAGTATGCGACAATTTCCCGTTTCCGTAGAGACATCTCGTCAAATTTAACTCGGTATATCCCGTCCATATTGAAAGCCGATTCGTTCAATCCCATACAACTAGATAAAGATTCAGATTTGGCATGCAACATTTGTTTACTGATTGTCGGGTAAATTGCATTCCGTTGTTTTAGTAATAGATACACCACTGGGAGAGAGTTTGTCAAGGCTATTTCGAGTAAACCGCGAGAGTAAATATTCGTATAATATGCACGATATACAAACTGGTAATAATATTTTTGAATGGATTTATCGATGATTGTTCTTGTTCAATAACTTTGTTCGATGCGTCGTTTTACTATAATTAATAAAAAATGGAAATATAGAGTATTCTTTCAAACGCCTTTATTTCTTCTTTTGCGCTATTTATATTCTTCGCATCAAAATGTAACATTTTCGCTATTATCATTCAACAAAAATTTTGTAAGACTGTATAACATCGTCGATTCCAATGACAAGGGTGAATAAGTTATAAAAAATTTTTCCGAACGGTGTCCAAGATGGAATAAACAACCCCCCCCCCAAATTTTTATTTGTTAACACATTCAAACGTAACTAAAGCGTTCGAGTGAGCTATTAAACACTCATGTAAAATTTTATTTGTTTGGAAAATTTTGAAAAATAGTGTTTTCTTACTAAGAGTTATTTGCTATCTTAAATGATCTGTTGTATTACTTCGCATTTCAAGACCCTCTCTCTTATTTGTATAACAAAAGTTGTAATCTTCAAGACTTAACAGTTTTGATCCTATACTACTGAGTTAAAAAGTTGGCGCTTTTCAAAAACCATGACTTGATAACTGATTGATAGAATTATCACATCATATTGTACCCGGACATTTCAAAAGTGATAACCAAGTGGCTAGTTTTGGTGTGGATGCAATAGTAACCAATATAAAATATATGACAGAATTATTCAAGTTTTGCTGGCAGGTTCTCTCTTCTGTGAAGAAATATGTTGCGGGCGACGTGTTACGCTCGATACAATAAGTGTTTGGTAAATCTTCACGATGGACGAGGCCCCGTGCTCATTTGGTCTGTTAATTGCATTTACACTCGGAAATTTGACATGTCACATTTGTTTTTTTTTTCTCTGTTTGACATTAAGTTTACTTTTCTGTCACATGATTTTGTTTTATAAGTAATAATAATAGTCAACCCTAAGCAGCAATGTGGGGAGATGGCCGAGCGGTCTAAGGCGCCACGTTAAGGCCGTGGTCTCTTCGGAGGCGTGGGTTCGAATCCCACTCTCCTCAAATATTTTCGTCCCCTTTTGGACAACCATATTTGGATCGCTTAGTCGAGGTTTTGAGACATCTTCATAAACTATACCCTAAAGACCAAGTACCGATGGCCACTGAAATAGCACATGTATCTAAACACATGTTTTCCTACAAAATGCATAGTGTTTTGGGACTCAGCTTTTTAGTATTAAACGTGTTTGTGGAAATTTAGTGCTTAGCTATCTGTTGATGCAATAAAGTTTTCAATGTTTGATTATTTCCAACAAGTTTGTCGTCATAAGGCCTATGCCAATGCTTTATTCATAATGACCTTGCAAGTTTAACACACCCAACGAATTAACAAATTACTGACTACGCAACGATACATATTTCATCACTTTCGAGTAAATTGCAATGCAATCATCGTATAATAAACCTGCCATTCTCTGTTTGTGATAATGGTCTGTGTCAGTTTAAGTGATTTTATCTCGGTGACTATCTTTGTAAGAAGTGTTCTTAGTCAATAAACTAACAGATACAAGATGTGTTTGTGCCACTTCAGCATGTATGACGATCGTATGAGCCGCAAACAGTCATTATTGAGTAATCAGAACTACCGGAGTGGTTTATCACAACAACAAAGTTATTTGATAATTGTAATATTTTGTCTAAAAGTTTGATTGCTTTGCAGACCATCCTTTTGACAAATACAGATTTTTTTTGTACTAGGAGACATGTCAGCTAAAGGTTCAGTACTTCTGGTCATGAGTCTATCATTGATAGTATTAATTTTTTTTTACTAGTTCAACAAATAGTGGCTTATACTCCGACCGAGACAACAAAATGAGTCTATCACTCTATTTTTGAAATTATATACTCGTCATCTTATTTTTGATTACACTGTTTTTCATTGAATTAATCAACAATTCGATGCCGTCGTTTATTGCAATAACGCCACTTTATTCTGAGAAAGCACAAATTACTTGTCGAAAATGAAATTGTGATAAGTTTTTTTTTTCCTTTGTGTCGCGTTGTCTGTTTGTGTCAATCATAGTCAATAGCCGCATATCGTGTGATCTCCAATACTACTAGCGAATCTTACCTTCAGCGAACAAAACTGGTTAGTGCAACATTAAATACAAGATCTTATTCACTTACCACGATAGACTCTAAAATAACTTGTGACAAGCTATAATCATTCGTACGACTACCTGGGATATTCGCCGGTAATTGAATGTTTTTACTAAAGCGATGGCGCAAAAAAGAGCACATGAAATTTGATATTTTTTCAATGTCTAGAGTCTGTTAACAGTAACGTGCCAGTCGATCAGCTTTGAAATCGATGGATTGAAAGATTGATGAGTAAAAGTCAGTATCATGTTAAATAGTAATAGAAACATTTAGAGTATTATTTTGAACTTTGTATACCGTATACGTGACCAGACCTAGTGCATACAGTCAGTAATTGTATTACTGTATTCATATTACTAATTTATTTAGTTTATTTTATTATTTTTTTTCATAAAAAAATTATCGCTTCTACTGAAATCTGTACAATTTATCAAATAATAAAAAAATCTTCCCACTTAATTTGTGATAGCTTACTTGCTAAATTCGTCAGGAGAGCCAATTTAGCTCTGCCCTGTTTTCTAGCGGAGGTAATGCGTTAATATTAATACATTTATCTCTTTACGAGCCTAAGGAGTCCTATGACATTATATATTTAGTCAATTATACAACTTGATCAGTACCAGTGATATTGCAAAACATTGATCATATAATTGATGGTATTGTTGAAATTAACAAGTCTGATATGCTCGCATACGAAGTATCGTATCGTATGATTTGATCCATTTGTAAATCGTGCGATTGTTTGCTGGTCATAACATTTAAATACGAAATGTGTGGGAACAAGTATCGTAAATATATATTAAATAGCTATCTTCAATCGGGCAATGGACAGGAAAAAAGCCTTCAATTCTTTTTTTTTCAAACCGCTCCTGCAACAAAATCCATAGGCTACTAGGACAGTTATCAGAAGAATATATAGCTTTGATGACTGGTTTCATCCTCTCTAGTGACATTTATACAATTGTGTGATTTTTGATCAGCGCCGTGACATTTAATCATCATGTGACTGCAACATAATATGTTCACATCTATAATAACTCTAATTCGCTGCCGTCAAAAATTTTTGGGAATCCAGATTATCGCTATGTGTAAGTAATTTCTAAGAGAGCATTGCTAATCATGCTTGAAAGTAACTTATTAACAGAGTCTTTCTCACCAAGCTTCAAAAAATAAAAAGAACACGTTATTTGATCAGCTGCAAGAGCTGCTGACTCCTGCCCCAGTAGGTACGTAATTGAAGACGTGGACCCTCATATTCGGTACTTTCTCGCGCCATTCTCTACAAACATTTCTTTTCACAAGACATTGACCCAGAGACCTTTGGTGAAACATTTCATACAAATGCAATTGACGTGGATGAAAACGATGCGAGCGAGGAAGATCAGAATAAAGGGCGAGAACATTATGTCAACGTTGGGTATGCAACTGGACGTTGTCTCGTTCGTTCCATTATTATGTTGAGCAAAAAATTTGACTATTTCTGTACCCAGAAAGAGTGCTATTCGGAAGAATCTTCAAATAGAGACAGACGATTCCAGATATTTTGGCAAAAAGTCTAGCCGAAAGGCTATTTTTGGAGAAGAAAAGGACGAAGAAGACGAAGAGGAGGATGAAGGTGAAGAAGAAGAAGAGGTGGAGGAGGAGGAAGAGGACGAAGAAGAAGAAGAAGAGCAAGAAGATCAAGTTAGCAACGAAGAAGCAACCGACGATGAGGAGATAGATTCTGACGAATTTCTTGAAAAAGATGACACTTCTCATGATGTCAGTATCTTAATCGAATTATCCACATTTCAATAAGAATTAGATGCTAATTAATTTTTATTTATCGTTTAGGCAGAGAAATCATCCCACGTTGATACAGCCGCTATAAGGGAAGAATTGAGAAAAATAGAAGACGATGAGAGAAAGATTTTAAAAAAGATGTCGCAAAGTACTAAAGCTGACATTACAAAGGGCCAGCATGTCAAAACGCAACTTGCAAGTATTAATTATCTAAACGACAAAGGGAAACTTTTGATCACTACCGTATCAATTTGTTCATGATAATGACATTGATATTTATGTAGGATCTTTGGGATTCATTCTTAGACACAAGAATTCGGTTACAAAAGGCTTTAACTTTAGCAAATACATTTCCGCAGGTATGTAATCAATGCAATGCTTTGTTTTTGTCATAGTCAATAAACATAAGCCGACTCATGCTCTGTTTAAAAGTACGATGTTTATTCACAATTTCTAAACGAAGAAATAAACGGCGAAATCAAAGAAACGCAAACTGAACTGCACGCGTTAATGGATATGCTTATCGACTTACAAAAGGTACCTCGTTAATAAATGATCTCAAAGCACGCAGGCAACAGCAGCAGCAGCAGCAACAACAACGATGACTATAGCTTTTGGTACCCAAACACACTAACTCTCGTAACTCTTTTAGGACATTTACCAAACGAATGGGATTGTCGAAATTTCCAAAGATACTGCTACAAATCGCAAGCGACAACATGAGGACGATAGTTATTTGGACAATCTTTGGGGAGACATGCAAGAACTCTACGACAAGTTTAAACCCTTTCGACAGGCAACAATCGATAAATGGAATAATAAAGTACAGATAGCTGCGGGGTTGCCGCTAAACAAGAAATTCAAGGCCATCAATCAAAGTGTCAATACGCAGATTGAACAAATTCTAAACGATAAAGAACGACTAATAAAGAGAACGCAGTTAAAGAGAAACGACGAGAAGATACTGGGGAAAGTAAGTTTTCCAAGCTTACTGTCGACACAAAGATATAGTTTCTATTAACACTGAATATATCGTTTAGGAGAAACAAAATGAGCGGGAAGAAGAGATAATATTAAAAGGAGACAATTATGATAAGGAAATTTTCGATGATACAGATTTTTATCAGCAGTTACTTAGAGAATTAATAGATAGTAGAATGGTAGATACAGGTAAGCTGATTTTACAACGTCCACTTGAATAAGCATCCCACTATTCAATTCACTATTCTGACTGAAACTTTGCTTCGTTCGCTTTGATATATGTTTTCAATAACCTTCTCCCAGACGACCAATCATCCCTAGGACTACGCTGGGCAGCCTTAAAACAGACAAAGCAAAAGAAAAAGCAGGTTGATACGAAAGCCTCAAAAGGCCGCAGATTGCGATACCATGTTCATGAAAAATTACAAAACTTTATGGTTCCCATACCTGCTGGCACTTGGCATGAAGAGATGATTGACGAGTTGTATTCGTCATTATTGGGGAAGAAGTATAATGTTGCGTTGGATGAAGATGAGGACAAGAATGATGGAATTGATGAAGAACAAGGAAAAGAGCATGCGAATAGAGGAGCAGGAATTGTGGAAGGTGTTAGCGGGTTAAAAATATTTGGGTAAAGAACTATTTCGGAATATGATTTATCATAGACAGAAATATTTATGAGTTCTTAAGAAATTTAAAGACCTTACAGCTTTGTAACTTTTCTGGTAATTGCTAATGTAATATAGTGTGAGAATTTATCGAATAATAACTACCTGACTTTGTCTTACATACAACTCTCTTGCAAAGAGCTTTGGTTGGATCTAGCAGTTTCGATTATCTATTGATGCAGTTATGATGACAAACCAAGGAAACAGAACCGGAGTCATCGAGCAAACTTTTTAAAGGGCATTATACAGACAGATTTCTATTAAGAATTTTCTAATATCAACCCTCGAGCAAGTAGAAATATATGTGATAAAAAATGCAAAGACCTGGACTACCGTCTGTTTAACCACCTTACACAAAGAAAAATAGTATTACGGATTAGTGAAGCGTTTATATCATTATCCGTTACCGAAAATCAAAAAAACTGCCGATCTTTCGGCAAGATAGTATAGCAATCATTGGTAAGATAGAGAGACTTGATTGTGTTTACATAAACATTCCTTTATTTCAACGTCTAATTATCTGTTTGAGTACAAAGTCCTATGTGTACGACAATCGTTTTGTCTGCAAATCGACATTCTACAGCGATAATCATAGTATAAATAACATTATGGAAAAAAGAATAGTAATTGTTGTGTTTGGTTTGGCCCGAATAATTGCAGGCGCGCTTAAATTTTGAAATAGAGAAAACCTAATAATTTTATAATTTAATAATAATTTCACGTACGCGTGATAGTAAACGCAATAATACTGTCGCAGATTACACGCGCGCTTATCAACAACATTCATGTTCGCGGTAATATCGATACATGTGTGTTATCAGGATAACGATATTGCTTATAATCAATCATTTTTACACCAGTTGGAAATGTTTTAAATTTCAAGTTACGTTCCATAGTATCTAACTCTTCTTCCGAATATAAACAAACCCAATAAAGATGGACTCCTAACTACGGTAAATGAAGTTAAAGTTAGAATAATTGAATACGTTTCACATAAATAATGAATAAATGAACAATTATATTTACATCATTACTACTGATATCGAACTCTATAACGATAATAATGTTATCTTCGGACGAAACGTTAACCGCGCATGGTAAAATAAATTCACCGTAGTAGCTATTTTTAATGTCCATCATATATTGTATTTCTTCAGTTGATGTTTTTATCGTTGTCTACAAAGCAAATGTTTATATTAACGTACAATAAAAACTATAACCACCAATGTTATCTTAATACTTACTTCCATCGTAATCGTCATTGACTTATCCAAATAATTTAAACTCCACAACAAAATGCCGAGTTTGTATTTATTTGGAGGTACTTTGAATATTGGTATTGTTACCTAATATATAATTGTTTAT